AGCACCTACCCCAGCCCCACTCCCTCCCTCACTGGGGAGTTGATCTGCCCCCCGCAAGCTCCTTCCCTCCCCTTTTACCACAACAGACTTACCAGCTGGATGCAGCTGTATCAGAAATTGGAGGGTGGGGGAAAGAGGCTATGCAGAATACTGAGGATGCAAACACACAGCATGGTTACTATAGAGTAACTTGCTCTGGTTTTTACAGGGTGGTAAATTTACTCTGAATTAAGGAGTGGATACATGGCTAACTTTCTGAAAATGACTACCTGCAGTAGGCGCTATTACAATGCTTGACCACTAGATGGTGAGAAAACCAATTTAAATTGTGCAAGCAGCTCCCCCCCACCCACATCCCAGATGAATTTGTCTAGGAGAGCAGACACCATTGTTACATCAGTGTAACTTACACTGGTATACAGTTACTCCTCTCCTCCTCGGGGTGACTTCACCTTGGAGTCAAGTGACTTATGCCAGCATAAGGCTGTATGTCTGTATCCTTCCTGATTTCTGTTGCACCATTTTTATACCAGTGCCATTCCATGGACTGACTTTATTGGAACCAAATTGGTTTCTTCTGGTGTGAACAGGAGGATGGTGAGGCTAAGTGTCTAAATGCACATCCAACATCAAAGTTGTGTTAAGGCAAGAACTTTACTTAACTTGCAGGTCTAATTTGTAAAATGCACCCTGACTTTATGCGTATTCCAAAGCAAATGGTTTTGTATTGGGTTGTAAAGTTTCCTTAAAAATATATGTAACCCAGCCATTGCAATAGGTACATGAAGACTAGAAAACAAAGGTGACAGTAAAGACAAACAAAACAGATTAGCCTGTTATTACTTGCTGGCTCAGAGAATTGCAAACGGAAATGGAGTTTGTTGGAGAAGGTAAATTGTTTTTAAATTAAATTCATTATTAATATTCAAAAGCTTTTTCAGTAACATGAGTAAGGAATTTTTGGAGGGAGGGCGGTTTGGTATTTTTAATGGAGCCAGTCTCAGCTGCTGTGAATCCTTGTAGTTCTACTGGATGTACCTGTGCTGATCTCCACTAGCCCTATGGCTTTTAATCTGGAAGCGTCCCTTCACTCTCTCACTTCTTGTGTATAAGAGGTAAGGTGTTAAAATACAAGCTGGCAGCAGCTCAAGCATCTGATTGCTGCATTTCCTGTTTATCCTGCAGGTATGTTGGAGAGCTGATTTCCGATTCAGAGGCAGACGTACGTGAAGAGGACTCCTACCTCTTTGACCTTGACAATAAGGTAGTGTTTTGAAGGGAGTCCCTGACAAAGCAAGAGCTGGAGGTTGCTGCTGAAAGGAGTGAAAAGAAAATTTGTCCCCATTTTGATGGGCAGAGCAATCTCCAAGCCTGTGAAATGGGAGGCACTTCTCACCTCATAGTAATGGAAAGCTATTCACAACTAGAGTGTGGGCTATATGGCTCAGGGGATTGGTAATGGAGCACAAAAACTGACTGTACTAGGTCACTAGTTTGAATGCAGGTTGATAGCCATTGCAAGTTATTCCACTCTGAAGCTGTTTGGCCTGTATGAATTAAATTGTTGGTGTATTTCCAATTTCAGGTGTCGGTATAGCAAATCCACCCCTGCAGCCTGCATTGAGCAACACCCATGTTGTCAGTCTTATTAAAGAGCTCACCAGTACAGTAAATGAGCAGGAAGACTGAAAATACCAGCTTACCTGTAAATTACTTTTCAGGCACCTTGGCAGAGCAGTGTGGAACAGCTTGTATGGCTGCTGGATATCGAACACCTGTGCTGTGGGGCCCTGGTGTCCCTAGAGCAGTGCCATTAAAGGCTTTAGGTGAAACTGTTACGTTGACTATCACTGACAAGTGTGCAGAAAACTGATGGGGACTTCAAGTGAATGAGGGGATTCTTCTTAGGGAGCTGTATGTCAGCTGACAATCACTGCTCTAAGGGGTAGGCCTCTCCAACCATTTCAGGAGGGTTCACTGAGGAGCCTGGTAGTCTGTGCTCTGAACACAGAAAGATAGAGGGACCACTCTCTCATCAACTTCAATTTAATGCCAAGGATCATATGCACTCATATGCAGATCAGCTAGCAAGAAGCATCCTGCATTCCTCAAGGGTCAAGCATGTTGTTCTTTCTCTTTTGTGTCTGGGCAACATCTGCCTACCTGTGCTAGCAATTGCAATAGGGCAATGTGCAACTGCACTAATATAGCACAGTTTTGTTTTGGAAAACAGAGTAAAACTGTGCCCGAAGCAGCATGATTAGTGTGGGGGCTCTGTACAATGGGTATTTACACTGGTGCTGCTTGATTCAGGTTTCTAGTGTAAACACATCTTGAAAGATTTTCATGTAAAGTTGGAGGCATCCCAGATGTTTACCTGGCAGATCTCTGTAAGTACGGACACGAAGGTAAGAAGTTCTCTGAGACGGGACCAGACAAGGCCCCACAGTGCCGTATGGCTAGAGGAGGTTCTTTTCCTAGAAAGCAGGTCTTTCCAAATGCACAAAGGATGGACCTAACATCCCTTTCTCATGAGGCACTGGCTCTGATGTGCACAGATTCTGGAAAATACAGAACATCTTTACCAGCCTCACATTTTTGCCCCTGGGGAACCACAGAAGCAATTCCAGCTGGAAGCTCACAGCAGTGATGTTCCTTCTCAGACGCTCCTCATGTTCCATTTCCTGCTTCACAGCGAGTGTCCTTTGGCAGGAGAAAGCCACTTAGGGTTTCAGTGGGAGCCCATGTATTGTACAAAGAGGGGGCAGTAGCTGCAGAGGATTACAAGGCACTTAATTCTACCAGGGGCTGAGCATCCTGCAAATAATTCTAGCCACTTCCAGACCGTGGAGTAAGAGAACATATAATGGGAACTGTTTATGTACCCAGCTCTGGAGCGACTGCCGGCCCTTCTCCCACCCCCAGCTTTTTGGGCAGATGGAGGATGAGTGGAATTGGCCATGGAAACTGGATGAAAGTCACCTGTGGTTGTGTTAATTATTACTGGGCTAAACAAAAATGTAATCTAGAAGTTTCTGGAGGAGTAGCTGAGATGTCCTCTTGGTTGTATGTTGCTGATGCAAGGTAAACACCATCAGAAAAAATGTCAGGTAGAAAAAAAGGAGCAAGCTGGGCTTTCGCATTGTAGAGCAGCATTTCCTCTTTGCATAGCTCTGTTTGAGGAACTAACCAATCCAAAGGCAAACAATGCAGTCTGAGACTGCAGGCCTGTTGTAAATCGGCAATAGCAGGCAAAGAAATTATTATAGAGTAACTGTAATCCCAAGGATTGTGATGGAGATAACCAGCTGGTGTAAATCCCTGCAGTGTACTCTATGGGGAGAAACTACAACTGTAACAGAAATGCCTGGGAAAGGAGAACCCTAAAGATGGTCTGGTAATAAGCTTGGTTAATCACCTGGGCTGCAGCTGATTTGCTAACAAAGGGCAGAGGAGCTGTAGGCACAAAGGGGAAGTGAATGTACGCAAGTGTGGCCCAGCCTCTGCCATCTAAAGCTGCTTTGAAACAGCCCGCTGATTGAGCGAGGCAAGTGACTGCTGTTTTTGCAGCCCTTAATGAAGAGGGTAATAAACCTTTTGGAAGCAAGTGGCAACATCCTCTTGCTTTTCCTGAAAAGGGAGGCACAATGTGAGTCTACACCTAAAGATGGAACTCTGTCTGGATCTCAGGTATGATGATAGGCATGATTAGAAGAGAAGTTAAGTTGGAAAGGGGTCTAAAGAGGAAGTCATGGGGCCAATTCCAGCTCTGGTATAAGTAACAGCACTTTCACTGGAATCTGCTAAATGGGAAAAGCAGTGGGAAATATATAGGCTTCATGCCTGGTACTATGCTATTTGGAGTGTGAAGCAGGAGGGAGACTAGGTGGCAGCATTGTAGGTGTGTTTCACTTCCTTTTTCTGTCAATGAAGAGGCATTTAAGGTACACACACAGAGACAGTTACTAGTATTTATCTTGGCTGTTGGAAAGAATATGTGAGGTGCATAATCTATCTGGGTTATTTGTGTCCCACATTACTGTAGGCTCTGAAGGTCATAGAATCATAATCAGAAAATTATGGTTGGAAAGGACCTCAGGAGGTCATCTAGTCCAACCTCCTGCTCAAAACAGGACCACCCCCAACTAGATCATCCCAGCCAGGACTTTGTCTAGCCAGGTCTTAAAAGCCTCCAAGGATGGAGAGTCCAACCTCTGGGTAACTTGTTCCAGTATTTTACTACCCTCCCAGTGAGAAAAATCTTCCTAATATCTAACTTAAACTTCCATTCTTGTAGTGGGGGGCCCAAAACTGAACACAGTACTCCAGATGTGGCCTCACTAATGCTGAATAGAAGGAAATAATCACTTCCCTTGACCTGCTGGCAATACACCTACCAATGTAGCCCAGTATGCTTTTAGCCTTCTAGGCAACAAGGGCACACTATTGGCTCATTCAGCTTTTTGTCCATGGTAACTCCCAAGTACAGAGCTGCTCTGACTGCTTACTTAGTGCTGGCTGTGACTATGGACTACAAATCCCAGAGGCACCTGGAAGTGGAAGTGATAAGTAACCTTGCAGGGTCTTGCTGCTATAATTGTGGACTGCAAATCCCAGAGACATCAGGAGCAGACAGCCCAGCCCAGCCCAAGACTGCAAAGTGTGGTGGGATGCTGGTGGACTCTGATTTAACTTGAGCTAGGCAGGAGTCTGGGACAGGACTTTCATAAACTGGTTTGACCTAAATCGGTTAAGTCTGATAGTAGATTCAACCAGGTTTATCTTAAACCAGTTTCAGCCATTTTGAAACTGGCTTATGCGCACTGAACTTCTGTTCTGTTACAGGTTTAAACCAGTTTCTGATGCCTTAAACCAGTTTGTGTAACTTCTGTCTCTTGCCCATGTGTTCATTCTAGCACCACCTGGACAGAGGAAATGAGGTTGATGTCATATACTTGGACTTCAGAAAGGCCTTCAGCCTAGTCTCCTACAATGTCCTCATGGTAAAAGTGGGAAAGTGCAGCCTCCACTACTTTATGGTAGTGGTTAGGTAACTGGCTCCAAGGGAGGACCCAGAAAGTATTAATAGACAGAACTGAGTCAACATCTGAGGGACAGAATCCAGCTAGATCTAGACAGGTTGCAGAGGTGGGCGGATGAGAATAGGATGGAATTCAATGCAGACAAGTGCAAGGAGCTGCATCTAGGGAGAAGGAACCAGCAACACACCCATAGGCTGGGGAACACCCTTCTAGTCAACACGGTGGCAGAAAGGGATCTTGGAGTTATTGTTGACTCCAGGATGAACGTGAGCCACCAATGCAAGGAAGCGGTCAGTAAGGCTAACCTTACAGGTGCATCACAGGCAGGTCCAGGGAGGTGATCCCTCCCCTCTATGCAGTGCTGGTCAGGCCACAGTTGGAGTACTGCATCCAGTTCTGGGCGCCGCACTTCAAGAGGGATGTGGCTAACTTTGAGAGGGTCCAGAGGAGGGCCACCTGCACGGTCGGGGCAGCGGGCCAGGCCCTACGAAGAGAGGCTAAAGGGTCTGAACCTATTCAGCCTCCACAAGAGAAGGCTGAGAGGGGATCTAGTGGCCATTTACAAACTCACAGGGGGGAGCAGCGGAAATTGGGGGAGGCTCTTCCCTTGGGCGCCACTGGGGGTTACTAGGAATAACAGCCACATATTGTTAGAGAGAAGGTTCAGGCTGGACATCAGGAGACATTACTGTACAGTTAGGGCTGCCAGGCTCTGGAATGGGCTCCCAAGGGAGGTGGTGCTCTCTCCTATCTTGGGGGTCTTCAAGAGGAAGCTGGAGAGATATTTGACTGGGGTGTTATGTCCCCAGCACTCATTCCTGCCTGGGGCAGGGGGTCGGACCTGATGATCTGTTTAGGTCCCTGCCAACCCTAAGCACTATGAAACATGGCTGAAGGTGACCAGTGGCGTCCCTCAGGGTTTAGTATTTGAATCATTGCTTTTCAACATGTACATCCAGGACTTGGATTTGGGTATTCAAAGCATACAGGCAAAGTTCATGAATGACACCAAATTATGGTGGAGTGTGGTCACGCTTGAGGACAGGCTGGCATTACAGGTCAACCTGGACAGGATAGGCTTGCGATGTGGGTGGATCTCAACCTGATGTTGTTTGATACAGAGAAATGTAAAGTGCTCCATCTGAGGAGAAATGATCCGCAATACACAGGCTTGGCAGTGCTACGCTTGCCAGCACTACAGTTGAAAGAGAGAGACCACAGAATGAACGTGAGCCACCAGTGCGATGCCGCAGCTGGCAGAATGAATTAAACGCTGGCATGCATCTACCGATGCATCTTGAGCAAGGGTAAGGATGTCATCCTCCCACTGTACTCACCTCAGTGAGACTGCACCTGGAGTAGTGCATCCAGTTCTGGGTGCCACGCTTCAGGAAGGATGTGGAGAAGCTTGAGAGAGCCCAAAGGAGGGACACGTGCATGATTAGAGGCCCTAGAGACAAGGCTATACAAGGAGAGGCTGAAAGACTTGGGACTGTTCAGCTCAGAGAAGAGAAGACTCAGAGGGGACTTGGTGGCAGGGGCATACATTAAGGCCTGAGGGAGCATCTGTTCACCAAGGCACCCAAGGGGAAGACAAGAAACAATGGGTACAAACCAATTGAGGATCGGTTCAGACTGGACATAAGGAAATACTTCTTTACACGTCAAGTGCCAAGGGTCTGGAACAGACTCCCCCAGAGGAGGCAGAGTCACCCACCCTGGCGATCTTCAAAAAGCATCTTGATGCCCATTTTGCTGGAGTCATCTGACCCCAGCAGTCTTTCCTGCCCAAATGCATTGAGGCTGGACCCAGTGATCTTGTAAGGTCCCTTCCAGCCCCTAACATCTATGAATCTATTATTGTGTTTTGCCGTGCAATAGCCCTAGGAGGTATGGGAGAGATGTTAGTCTGTGTGTCCTATCTGGGAAACAGGAAAGCTTTGAGCTGCCTGCAGCCTCACGGGAAGTCTGTTATGCAGAAGGGGCTTTGGACTTGGTGCACCTACCCAAAGACCATTCTGGTTCTCAGTTCAGGCATCATTTGGGAGCCTTTCTGCAGAATCCCCGAGTTGAGCATTATTAGACGTTTTGGTCGGCATACACTGTCCACATTGCCAACAGCAGTCCCTTTGTAAGTGTCTTCAGAGTGAAACCGTGGGATTTCACTGCATCATCCATGGAGTAACAGACCCCAGACTGTAGTCATCAATCTTAGAAGGGAAACCTGTCATGCAAAACCAGACAAAGGAGGACAGGAGGCAGTCAGGTGAAGGCAGGGAATGGAAAGCAAGCTTCTCTTGGCTACAGAGTGCTTCGAGGACTGAGAGGGTGGGAAGCCAAACCCAGCCAGGCAACAGCCTCCCAGAACCCTGTTAGTGTCACTGGGGGCCAGCTGAGATTAAGTCTGCACTGTAGTGCAATGGAGTGAGAGGGATGTTATTTTAGGCATCTTGATTGTCTTGATTTGTCACTCCAGACCGTGTGGGCTGTGAATCACTTAGTGTACTGGGTCCTGGATGCATATCCTATTCGCTGTTTGAAAGAGGGCAAACATTTGTTTAACAGTCAAAATTCACTGCCACTTTTGCCCTCTCAGAGAAGATGTAGTACAGATCTTTCTGGGCTTTCTCTTTCAAAGAGACAGTCTCCTCATGGCTGTAGTAGTGGAATGTGGAGAAACAGACAGAGAAGGTTAGCCGTGTTCTCTCCACAATCAAAGCAGGCAGCTTTAATAAAAAATTAAAACTTCCCCACAGCCTTTCATGTGGAAAAAAAATCAAAGCACTTCACAAGCACTTGGAGTGAATCGCTTTTACAGTATCCCTCTGACATGTATGGTATTGGTTGTTATGTGTACAGGAAACTGAGGCAAAGAGGGCTTTCCAGAAAAAATCAGCTAATTAGGTATAGCACCACAGCCAGCTAACATGCTTTTAAATACAGTCCTTGTCCACAGCATTTTGCATGGTGTTAGTTTATAGCTAGCAACACAGTGCTTGTGAAGTGCTTTCCCAATGTGGACAAGCCCTGAAATGTTAAGAGACCTGCCAGAGATTGCCTAGCTAATCTATCTGTGGCAGAGAGGAGATTACGATCCTTACTTTGCAACTTCCAGTGATGTTCCTCACACAAATCCATCCTTCACTCCATTACTGAATAACTAAGTTTTGGTTAAGTTGTGGGTGTTACTGGAAATCACTTGCCACTTCCCAGATACGCAACCAGGTCTGGTAACTTTTATCTCCAAATTTAATTCTGCTGCAGTCCATTGGAACCACTTGCCCATGTTCCTAACCTCCTGATGTGATCTCTTTACCAGATCATCAAGTCATCAGCGTGACTGGGATGTTGGCAGGCTTGGTGCACCCAAGAATCACCAGGAATGTACCCTGTTGCTGTTTTATTGCAGCAAAGCCAGGAAAAGAGCTGTGTGAGAGGAAGAGTAGAGCCTTTCCACCTTACTAACCGACTTGCAGGATAAACTAATAATAAATCACAATTTTGGTCTTTATAGTCCTTCTAATGTAAACAGCTAAGGACTTAATGTGGGGGACAGTAACATAGGGATGTTCCCTAAAGCCCTCTGCCCACGTTCTCATTGTTCTGTTCTCTCAATCGTGAGCAGTAAACTGCTAGCCTGGAATTTCAGTTTTATATCCAGTGGGCTCCCCCACCTGGGCTGAGCCACAGCACCCTCACTCATTCTTCCTTCCCTAGTACTCAAGACTGAAAAGACTTGATTCTTGGTGTCATGGTTAGAAGCTGCTGCCCTAAAGGATTTGTTGTCCTTAAAATTCCTGTAAAGAATAACTGTTTAGGATGCTGATTTAGCAATGTCTGGCCAGTCGGTACCACAGAGTGCAGAGACTTCCCCAGTGTGAGATGCGTTTCAACTTGTATGGTGGGGCTGCCAGATAATTTGGATGACATTTGTTGACGCCATGGAATCCAAAAAGACGTGGAGAGCTATGAGTGGGGATGAGTGTGATCTGGACTTGCTACCATGAAAACTATAGAGCTTGTAGCAGATAGCTCCACTCCATGCCTGTTATCTTTAGAAGGCTTCTTCCTGGGCTCCTGTGTAGTAGATACAAGGTGGTAGATTTCTGGCAGTGCTTATCCATTAAAGATTGCGAGGTGCTTGCCCAGAAGGAAATGTGAACTCCGCTAATGGATCCTTTTCCTTTTGGCCTCTGTGTGACTGAAATTATCTTCTGTAATTAAAGTCTGCTGCTTGCACAGTCATTTGCTATTGGAATAAAAAGCCCTGAAGGTGTGTGGGGGGTGTTTTTTATTCTTAAGGAAAGCAAAATATTACCAGAACTGCTGTTCAGGCAACAGAGAATTTCTGAGGGTTTCTCTGTCTGTATCCCACTCCCTCACTTGAATCTGTAGGAAATAATATATCTTTTGTAGGCTCCAGTTTTGCACTTTTCAGCTGTCATGTTCAATTAGGAGGATGGGAAGAATATGGTTTCATCCATCCAGTGGCCTTTACCCATAAGATGTTTGTGCTCATAGAACCCGAGTCCCACCATACCAGCTTGGTGTCTTAGTAGAATAGGTCTGCGGGGAGCAAGTCTGCCAGTCCAGCTCTGCCTATCACTGCTCTGGTCCGGGGCATTCAGAGCAGTCTCTGGGCATGTCAACAGAGCTGTGTGAAGAGAAGACCTTTTTGAATTGTTAATATAAGGAAAAGGGTTGCATGTGTTGGCCTTTTAAGCCTTCCAGTAGATACCATGCCCTGATCTGCCTTGCTCTTGAAATTCTCCAGTGTGCTAACTGTGAAGTGACCTGTATTTCAATTGCTTTAAACAAGCAACAATAAAAACATTAAAACAACTACATCTAATGAAATATTCAATGTTCCTCCCTCTAGGATGGAGAAGTGTACTGCATAGATGCTCGTTTCTATGGCAACATCAGCCGCTTCATAAACCATCTCTGTGAGCCAAACCTCATTCCTGTGCGAGTGTTCATGTCGCATCAGGATCTTCGCTTTCCCAGGATTGCCTTCTTCAGCACCAGGCATATAGAAGCTGGAGAAGAAATTGGGTATGTACTGTCCAAGGGGGAAATTGTCCCCAGACACACAGTAGCTTCCTTTGCTGCTACCATTTTTAGTGGGGCTTAGGGGCATTCTGAAGTTTGAAACTGAATAGCAAGAAGCAACCTCAAAAATGAGCCAACAGCTCTGAAGCAACACGTTGCTTGCCTTTTAAAGGGGAGTAGAGAGGGAAAGATGGCTTGAAGGGCCAGATTCAGAGGTGATTTCAACAGTGGCTCAAGTGGTCCAACTGGGATAAATTGGCCAGAAAGTGGTGGTGACAAAATAACTGCAACATATGTGCAACTTGCACCAAAACAGTATTGAGGAGGAACCATGTTGAACCCTCAGCAGAACATGCAGATTCCTCTTAAAGTCAGCGAGCTGGTTTTGCTCCCGCTTGCTGTGGTTTAGTGTCTGTGGGACTCTCCTGGCTTCCATGGGGTTACCTCTGCTTGGCACCCACAAAAATTGCAACGAAATTGGCCTTGGCTGAGGTTGCTCCTGAATACTTCTATGGACCCAGAAATGTTTGGAGAGCTGCTACTTCATTTTGAGCCTTCTTGTTGATTTGCTTCTCTTGCTTCTGCCCCTTTCATTCTCTCTATAAGTAGACTAAATGTGCTCCACACACCTAGAGAACAGCAGATCCAAGCAGGTGGTGATGCTTTGTCATTCATGTATTTTGTGAATGGTGCATACCACAATTTGCGTCTCTCCTGAATGTGTTAGTAGAAGATGAACCCATTCACTCCAAGTTATCCCTTCAGCCTGTGTTAAAAGGCTACAGAAATCCAGATGACATCCACAAAATAGGTGCTATTTTATCTCTGTGGTGCAAGGTACCCTACCTCGCCTGGAAACCAGGACCTAGAGGCTGCTGCACAAGGATTTCCCTCAGGGCAGCAACAGCCTACAGACACATACCAGACTCCAAGGGCCTGTCAACCTCCTTCCCTACCAGCTATCAATGCCAGCAGCTCATTCACTTTTATTTGTGTTGAGTTTGGTTTCCAGAGTTTTTTTGAGAGCTGCTCCTCCTGATGCCTTGCATTTCTCATCTACAAGAAGATAAATGTGACGTGATTAACTAAAGAAAGCTAGAGCCTGCCTCTGAGGCTTTATCATTCAGGAGACTGACAGCCAAGACTGTAGATGCTTGTCCCTAGAGGGAAACGATACAAAACAAGTTCTAGCCATAACTTGGAGTATGTAGGGTTGGGTGCCTTTGGGAAACTAGATGGCTCTGGCCCTCAGTGACAGCGTAAGGGAACGTTCCACCAAGAAGCATCTCATTCAGCTCCCTCCCAAGTTAACAGAGACTGAAATCCATTTTCACCTGACATCCATTTGATGAGATTTTTCTGCCGAATTGGCGAGCCTCAGTTCAGTTCATAGTGATCCAGTACCAACTCACATTACAAATGCTTGTTGCAGCTTAGGCAGCATTCCTGTCCTGCTGTTCCTTCTGGCTCTGATGGCTTCTACATCTTGCAATGATGCAAGAGAGGGAGAGGGACTGGCATTTCCTGAGCTTCCCTCATCTCTTTGGCAGCATCTTCATAACAGTGGAAGAGAACCAGTGAAAACACAATGTAAGAAGCACTAACCCAAGAATGTAAGCAGAGGAAGGTTCCATGGGGCAGGAGGAGGAGGAGGAGGACCTTGCAAAAGCAGAGAGAGATGCCATCATTCCTGCTTAGTGAGCTCAGCGATGCAGAGTGTGTCAGGGTTGGTTCCTTTAAAGGGTCCTACAGCTGCTCTAGAGCAGTGGTCCCCAAAGTGGGACGCGCAAGACACGATCTATTGGGGTGCGGGAAGAAAATATTAGAACTTCTATTTAGATGTATATTTATATAAATATACATATATTGGGGGTGTGTGCCCAAAAATCTTTTACTGATAGGGGTGCATGAATATAAATATACATATATTGGGGGTGCGTGCTAAAAAATTTTTTACTGATAGGGGTGTGTGATCAAAAAAATTTGGAGACCACTGCTCTAGAGGAGCATTGGTAGCCCTGGAAGAAGGACAGGAAATGACAGCTGAGTTCACCAGGTTTACCTGAGACTAAAACCTAGAGGCCTGGCAGCTTAAATTGGGTGCACATGTCACACTGTTGCTGTTTATTCCATGATTAACACATTATTCACAACATAAATGTAACATACAGAGGGGGCCTTCGGAAAGGGTTGGCTCAGCAGACATATATTCCATTGGGCAGGAAGCCAGTGAGAAAGGAGGAAACAGTTCTCCCCTCTAGGTTTATTTGTTAGCATATTTATCCTTCAGTTTTCTCTTCCTAGGAAAGAGTACAAGCCCCAGATGCTGCTTGCCGCTGATTCTTTTAAGCTGACCCAACCAAATCAGGCTGATGCATCATTCCTATTCCTTTAGTTCCACCTGCGTATCTGTGCTCCCCTACCAGATTTGTATGCATGCCCCCTCCATGCAGAGCTCCAGTGACCAAACATTCCCCTTTTCTCTCTCTGTTTCCTTCAGCTTTGACTACGGAGACCGGTTCTGGGACATCAAAGGCAAATACTTCAGCTGCCAGTGCGGTTCACCCAAGTGCAAACACTCGAGTGCAGCGCTGGCCCAGCGACAAGCTAGCACATCTTCCCAGGACGCACAGGAAAACGGGCTCCCTGACACCAGCTCTACCACAGCAGTCGGCCCCTTTTGAGGCTCCGCTCCCCAGAGACTGACTTGCTTTAACCCTATAGATTCACATACTGTTTGAATTCCCATTTAAAGAGAGAACTCCTTCAAGGAAAGCTAAGGGTTTGTGACACTTAGGGCTGTACCGCCGACTGTTACTTGAGGAATAAGTGAAAGCAAATCCTGACTCAATGTTGTTGTTTCCCCCTCCTCAGCCCTGGAAAGCTGCTGGTTTCACAGTGCGTGCAGAGGGGTGGCTGATGCATTTTTCCATGCAAGCTGTCCTAAGCCTCCGTCTTTTAATGTCCTAAGTGTTGTCAGAGCCAAGGGAGTGTGTCCCTTCCTCCTCTGAATATTATTAATTGAATAGAACGTTCATGCCAAGTCATCTTCAAGTCACTTGTAACAAACTTTGAATACTTGACGAAACTTTCTTATCAAAAGAGGGGGAGTGGAAAAAAAGATTCTTGTGTGTTGGTTTACTTGGCACAGCCCTGGGGCAGGTCCTGCCAGTCATTTAAACCATGAATTTCTCCTGCCCCCTGTCAGACATTGCAGCATGGTCTTTCCAGGTCCCATTGCTGGGAGTTGGAGGGTGGTCACTTCTAACAGATGCCTGTTGGTTACCAAATCCACCCATTTATTATTCTCTCTTATTTCCCCTAAAAAGGGGGGGGAAGCCCCTTTCCTTGATACCCTTCCAGTTCCTGTCTCTCTTCTAAGTCTGCCAGAGATTCTCTCCCCACTGCGTCCTGCTCCCCACCCAGCTTTCTCCGTTAAACCAGCCCTCACCCCTGCCTGTGGTTGGGCTTCTTACTGTTTCAGTGTTCGTTTCACCAATGGAAGGATTTCTCTCTCTATCCCATTAGTGATTTCAGAGAGGGAAGGTTGAAGGGGATTGTACAAGACACTAACTTCTTTTAAAAGAAGCAGTTTGCTTTTTTAAAATAAAAAAATAAATGATCTATATTCTAGAGAACCTCTGACTGGCATTTCTCAGGAGGATGCTACAGGCTGGGGCAGACATCAGACAGGACGTGTCACAGCGAGAAGATACAGACGCCACCAGCTCATCTGTACCCATCACTTTTCTCAATGCTGGGCACCTTCGATTAATTTTTAAAGCCACACGCTACGAGGTTTAAATAAACTGATTTATTTTTTACCATTATTAAAACATTGGGGACTAGCATTAAAAAACAGACAAACAAACAGAAACATCAAAACAAAAACGGTGCTGATTCTGGTGTGATTTTTACTCACCACGTGAATATAAACTATCAATTGTATAAAAAGAACAAAGTGATTTTAGTATAAAAATGCAGGAAAAAACACAAAACCTTTTTTAAATTGTTAGTATTGTAGTGTGAATAAATTTGTCATCACCTTTTGTGTGATGGCTGGGCAGGTCATTATCTTAATTTTTTGGCATATATCTTTAAATACTGTAATTAGTGCAGTAACAGTTTTTTTTGTGCATCTCTTCTAAAACATTCATAATGCCGTCATGTTTATTATTTTTTTTTCTGTTAATGTTTTTGACAATTTTAAAGGAGCAGTCTTTTGGCTCTGGTCATTTTCTTGTTCTGTTTTCAATGAAATCAATAAAAAAAGTGCTTTAAAAGTGCGTTTGGTCCTTTTATTTGTGAGGCAGCATTGCCAACTCTCTGAATGTCATCATGAATCTCATGATATTTGGGCGGCAGTGGTGTGCGTGTGTGTGTTTTGGTTTGGGGCTTCATTTACTTATTTAAATTAACCTCTAGCTCCAGGAGTCATATGAGAATCTCAGCTAGTTTTTGTCAAGGTGATGTTCTGGCCCTTGTACGAATGTGAATAAAATGTGAATTCTGATTGCTCCAAAACTAGAAAACAAATCAAATGCATGGCTGTTAGTTTTTCATAGACTGTAATTTCATATTCACATACTGTAATTTTAAACCAACCTTATGAAATTTTGGGGGCCTGACATGATTTTTGTTGATACTTGAGGTTGGCAGTACTGTTCCAGGGTGATCTGCCCCCACCAGTCTTGGCAGAATGAATCAGCAACATTTTGTTGAAAACAATACCTGTCATTTGTTTAGATAGTTGTGCCCACAAAGAGCCCCCAGACTTCAGTCTACCTACTAGATCACGGTGCAGAACTGTGGCTGTATCAGGAAAGTTACCATCCCTAGGATTAAAGCTATTTATTTGCTCTTCAATGAAATAAATAATGGCTTGCGAGGAAGTGGCTATAAGAATTTTGCAGTACTGTCCTGAGAGCACCCTGAGGGTATATCTACACCACTTCTCTGGTATGCTCTGCTCTCAAGCACACTTCATCCACCTGCCCACACTTGCAGGTCTCAAACCCTGAAATGAAGCAGCTCCAGGCAATGCTTCCCACTGGAAGCATCTCAAGATCTTGTGAGCAGTGTCTTGGTGCACCAGAAACTAGTTTCACCAGCTCATTGCCAGGTCTGGCACTTTGGAAGCAGTGGTGGGTGAGTGCAGCATGCTTAACAGCCTGCCTCAGGAGCACCGAGGAAGCCATGCAGACATACCCAATGGCACTACTCCCGTACCAGCTTGTTTGGGTCATCTGGGATCTCTCGTTATTCCAGATTACATTGCAATGCCCTGGAGCTTTTGTGCCTGTCTTTACTTATGTATGATGTATAAAGAAGGCCTTACAGGGTCTTCATACCTCCACCCCCACAGCAGTCTTCTTTTAAAAAGGGTCAGAGGTAGGTATGGTGTTGGTTTCCTTTGGAATGGCATAGGAAGCTGGTTAAAAATATCCAGAGTGTCACCTGTGGGATTTCTGTTTTTGCTCAAGGACTTGCTGAATGACTCAGAGGTCAACTGGGAGCAGCCTCAGCCTGAAATGAACGGCTGAGTGGGGGTGGCAGTGAATCCCTAGCACAGAGCTTTGCACTCATGAGCTTGAGTTGAATTGGTGTTGGCAAAACACAGCGTTTCTAGCCAGCCTGGGCAGTAATTGCTTCCTTGCCCATCCAGGTTTCTGTTCCTGCTTCGTCTCCACTCTTAGAATCCTGCTAGTTCCCTAGTGGTTCAAACAGTCTTCCAGAGTAAGACAAAGCCTGAATTTTTAATGCAAGAAATCAAGTGGAGAGGAAGGAGATAGTGATACGGGGAATAGGGAGAAGAGCCCTTCTCCAGCTCAAATCAATAACCGTTTTCCTGTTTACTGTTTCCTTTTAAGATAGCAACTCTGAAGTACCTTCCTTGGGAGCACCTGATTGAGAGACCTCCAAAGCAGAAGGGTGACGATGGGTCCAGAAAGAGGAAAAGGTGTCTGCTGTCAGCCCACATGCTTGATCTTTGAGGTTGTCTGCTCTATCTTCAACACAGACCTGTGAGAACAGAGCCCTTAGGACCTTATGAGAGGGCTGAGAGGTTAGTTCTGGCACCTTGAAGATAATGGACTCTCCCTTCAAAGTCCTGGTCCGGCAGTGCCCACTCAGCTCGAGGTCACTGCTCAGACTCTGGCAGCAGCGGGAGAAGGGACTTCAATTCCCTTAAGAGGGATTGCTTTGGCTCCAGCAATCTGTGGGGTCGAGAAACCCTTAAATCTCCCAAATGACTAAGCACCACCATTGAGATTTGTCTCCATAAATCTGCCTTTGAAGACCAATAACAAACCCTCTGAGTCATTTGCAGTCAATATCTCATAAAAATATTCATAAATGGTAGTAAAAACTCAGCCCGACTCCAGCTGGAAAGATAAGGGGGAGGTTAGGGTTTCAGCTGCATTCGTTCTTAGCCAGACGGCAGGAGCATTAGCTGACCTTGTCTCCCCTGCGGAGAGAAGGATCCCCTCCCCCTCAGTTCAAGGCTCTGCAGTGGGATGCAGCTGCCATCCTTTTGTAGGAAGATTGTACTGGATTGCCTCCGAAACTCCCTCCATGTCCCCTTTTGCCTAGTGCAGTGTTTTTCAACCTGTGGGTTGCAACCCAAAAGTGGGTTGCAAGAATATCTGAAAGGGTTGCAAACAAACTTTAAAAATGGATCAACAAACTTTAAACATGGATTCTCTTTTAAAGGAGAAAAATGTAGGAAACTGTGGGTTTTTCCTTACAGGCTGGCAGAGTTCAAGTCTGCGAGGGGCTGTTTGGGTCCCCCCTGTCCCACATATCCACTCCCTGCCCCATATACTGGGGGGGGGGGCTGGGGTCAGGGCAGCAGCGAGCCAGGTTTGAGGGCCACTGGGTCGGGACTGGCCATCGACGTTTACAAATGGGTCCTGGTACAAAAAAAGTTGAGAACCACTGGCCTAGTGTGAGCTGGTCAATATTATCTTATCAATCATGCTCTTTGGGACTCGTTTAGCCTTTTTCATTTTCAAGGCACTTGGTTAACTAGTGGCACAAATCAACCTCTATATCAGTGGCACAAATCAACCTCTATATCAGTGGGCAAGTAGATACAGCTCTGAGGGGGAGGCAGAAGCAAGGAGGCAAGAAGAGACTTCCCCAAGGCTGGACAGACCATCCCTAGCAGAGGCAGGATTAGCAGGCCAGGAGCTAATTGCATTCAAGTGGCTGGACCATGCTGCCACAAAACACTTTGCTCTCCCTGTTCCTGGAGTTGACATGGGCTGGCCCTGGAGTAAGGGACCAGAAAATTGAATTAAGCTAGTCTGATCTCAAGGCTTTCTGAGTAAAGACAGACAAGCAAAAAGCACAAGCAAGACATATTTCACAGGGCATCCCTTCCCCAGCCAGCTCCAAGAGTGTGTCCAGCCCAGCAAGCACCTTTGATGCTCTTTCAGTCTGAGTTTCTAACTGGGACTTCTACTAGGCAGCATTTTCCTTGCCTACCAGTTAGTGGCTGTTCTCCCTTCTAGTCATCCCAGTTCCCTTCTGCTATTTGGGAGTGGAGGGCTGCTACCCCTTGCTTTTGTCATTGCTGTCTCCGTACACATCCTCTGGGCAGCTGAGACTATTAACTATGCAGCCGGCTTTTTCCAGCTAGTTGTCCATTTGGAGGCCTTGGGGGAAGTGGCTGCATGTGTGATTTGTCTTTGGCCATCTCCTTACCTTCCATTTCCCTTGGGCTGCTTATTAATCTGTTTCATCAGGAGGGCAGGTAATTAAGTCTTGCTAGTAAGCTACTGGTTGCACTTAGATGCCAAGCAACTGGAAGCCTATTATCACCTCCTAAACAGGGAATTTAGGGCTCCTCACATTTAACTTGAAGAGAGGCCTGTGATAATAAATAAATTGGATAGCCAAAGGGACCTGGGGAAGAAGGAACTGCTTCTTATTAATAGCAATGCCTGGAGGAAATATGGAAACAGAGCATAGCTGAGACACCAGTTGGAGCTTTAAAGATAAAAGGGAAGAAGTGACATTGTAAGAAAATTCAGAGGGCCAGTTCCTGATCTGCTTCCCATTCCTGTCCTCATTCACAGTGCCCCATGGATTTTGGTAGAGCGCCTCTGTATTGATGCTAGCACAAAATTTATCCCACGGCAACAAGCCAAGTAGTTTGTCCTCTGCCTACTTCCAAATATAAAGGACAGGCAAAGGATGTCTCAGGACAGACAGCGATGGGGGAGCATTTGTTCATGCCCAGAAATGACATCCAACTATTCAGGCAGGATTATATATGTGTCTTTATAGGGATTTGGGAAGAGTCTAAAGCGTGCATATATAAATATAATATGCATCACTTCTTCCCCAGGTCCCTTTGGCTATCCAGTACAGTATGTTTATTATCACAGGCCTCTCTCCAAGTTAACTTTTAGGAGTTTTAAAATGTAGGCTTCTTCCAGTTGCTTGGCACCTACCAGTAGGTGCACAGAAACGCTTTCAATTCTTCCCCGGTCCCCAAGAACAGTTTGGGCTGGGATGAAATTTCCTTCATGGATAGAAGGAGAACAAACTTCTCCTGGGCTGGGAGAAGATGAAGGCTGTTCCTGGAGTCTGTTCTCTTTCCAGGCACCTTTCTGCTTACCAGTGGAGTAAGACTTTCAGCTTTTTGAACCTCTGAAGAGGCCAGAGGCTATTGGACAATTCTCCACAAGGCTCTGCTGGGATGCCTGAGCCCAGTGACTCCTCAGAGGGATTCAGTCTGTTATCTCTATTAAGTTGGTGCTCCTCAGCCTTGCTCAGCTCCCAACACCCTGTCGGCAGTCTTTTTTCTTTTCCAGCCTCCTGGCTAAATACAAAAATAATAATTTAGACCAAATGCCCTAGTGAGGAATGGGGATCAGGGACTAGGGGGTGTCTATACACGTGCTCAGGGTGGGGAGGGGCCGTTTTAACTGTTTAGAGTGGTTCACTGACAGCTGCTCAAAGTAAAATTGCTCACCATCATGTTTATTGAGCCCCTTGTGTTTTAAAATGGCTGTGGGGGGTGCTTTAACTAACGGTCATTTGCTGAGCTTTAGTTTAAGTGGCTCCACAGCCATGTTAAAATGAGGGGGTGCTTAAGACGCGTGCTGGTGAGGCGATGCTGGAGCCTTCTAATTAGACCGTGAACTGACACGGCTATAGGCAGCCAGAGAGCTGCTTCACAGACATTAAAGAAGAAAAGTGTTTCATACAATTTGCTTGTTGTTTTCCTCCATGCTGGGGCAGGGCTAATGGATTCTCAGCATTTTGACTGCAGCTC